GGGGGGGGGGCCTCTGGGTGGGGCGGGAGGCCAGGTGGCTGGCAAGGAGGAGGTTGGAGTTTAGGGGCTATGACGCCGTGGTCACTCGCCACAACTGTGCTCCTCCTTGCCAGCCCCCCTCTCCTGACGGGTGGGAAGACATTCTGAGTCTTCTCTGGCTTTCAGGGTGACTAACAGAGGCGTCTCTGTTCACAGCGGGCCGTTGCAGGCGATGCGTCCGAGTCCGCCCTCCTGAAGTGCATTGAGCTGTGCTGCGGTTCTGTGAAGGAGATGAGAGAGAGATACACCAAGATCGTTGAGATACCCTTCAACTCCACCAACAAGTACCAGGTCTGAGGGTCTGGGGAGCTTGTGGGGGGCCCGAGGGGACAGAAGAGAAGGACATACGCTGGAAAAACATCCATCATCCCTTTTGGAATTTTCCACGCTGAAATGCTTCCTAGAAACGAATGAGTCACAGTCTTTATGAATGCTTTAACTTTACATCTTACCGTCTAGAAAATCCTAATTTATTTGAGTATTAGTAGGATAAATGAAGCCTCTTCTAATACGTCGTCTGGGCCCTTTTGAATTCTCATTTGTTGGTTGGAGTGGGTGTGGGCGTTTGGAGAGGGGGCTGGGTAGGGCTGCAGGTGCACACACGTGTGCCAGTCCCTTTTCTCAATTTTCTTCGGGAAAATTGTGTACATGAACACGTGTCAGGGATGTATGAGCACCTCGCCGCGTTTGTTTCTTCTGTAGCATTCAAAGTGTGTTACAAGGTGCAAGACACTTCAAAGTTCAGAAATAGGGCATCTTGGATATTTTTGAAAACAACTACTAGGGACTTACCTGGTTGTCCAGTGGTTAGGACTCCACCCTTTCACTAACAAGGCCTGGGTTCCATCCCTGGTCGGGGAGCTAAGATCCCACAAGCTGCGCGACGCGGCCAAAAAAAGAAAAAAATTCCCTCCCTGGGCTGTCTGGCCCAACCATCCAACGTTTGCATCTCCACCATCCTTCACAGTTGTCCATCCACAAGAACCCCAACACGGCTGAGCCCCGGCACCTGCTGGTGATGAAAGGTGCACCGGAAAGGATCCTGGACCGCTGCAGCTCCATCCTCATCCACGGCAAGGAGCAGCCCCTGGACGAGGAGCTGAAGGACGCCTTTCAGAACGCCTACCTGGAGCTGGGCGGTCTTGGAGAGCGAGTGCTGGGTATGCAGATAGCCTGGCAACAGGGCCGCAAACAAGTCCGGGAGACGATTGCAAGTTACTGGGTTAACCTCTGTTTCTCGTTAACTTCCCTTTACTTGCCCCCTATTGTTTTGAAAACAATAAGCGCTGGAGACACTGGGCAGCAAAATGCTGCTGGTTTGCTTCTGACTTGGACTTTGACCTTTGGTCTCATGCTGGTCAGTTCTGTTTGCTCAAAAAAAGAGGGGAAAAGAGTTTTATTATCTGGCTTTTGTTGCTGTGCCCGTGATCTGTAAACTTATTGAAATGAAAAGGAATTCCCTAGGGCATCTAGAATAAAGCCACTTCCTGACTGCCACAGAAAGGCTGTGAATTTACACGGGCACTTGTGCCGCCAGCTCATAAATGAGACGAACGGTAAACTTGGCCACCTGTCCTTCCTGCTCTGTCAGCCACCTCGGATTAGAAGTACATTTACCCACTGCGTCATTGAGAAAGTGGCATTTATAATCTTGTAGGTGGACAGATAAAAATTCATTATTGATGTAATTCTTCTGTTCTTAGTTTGGGTAACTTAGAACTGGTCCCTTACTCATGTTCTTACCTGCTCTGTCTAACGTGAGGTGTCTTAGGTCTCTATCCAACTGAAAGGTCGCTCTTGAGTGGTTTTTGTTTCTGCACCTCCCACCCCAGAGGAGAAGCAGCCTCTTATATGAACTTCACTTGATACCACTTTAAAGTACACTGTAACCTTCACACAACATTGAAAGAAATATCTTGAATATCATGATTCTTGTGTGAACAGTAATACTAGATATAAACCCCTTGGGCAGAACGTGTCTGATCTGCATTTATCCTCAAAGAAGCTGGCACGATGGCCCACGTGGGTGCTCAGCAGTATACTTTGCTTAGATGAACAGTGAGCAGAGATGTGGCCTTGATTTTTCCCAGAGACGGAAGTGGAGACAAATAATGACATGATGTGCCACGTCTCAGTAACTGAGTGGGCAGGTCTAGGAGCCGGAAACCCTGGTGCCAGAGTCAGTCTGCTCTACATTGAACAAAGCCTCTTCCTCTGAGGCTTAGTGATGGACTCTGTCTTTTGCACAGTTTTTCTTCTCTCCATTCTGTGTCATTCATAAATGATCGATAAAACTCACTTGGTTATAAAAGTAGACTTTAAGAAACCTTCCAAACTAAGTGAATAATAAGCCGCTATCTTGCTGCTGCCTCTGTCACTAGAAGTCCTCACAGGCTCCCTGCCCTCCTGCAGGTTTCTGCCACCTGTTCCTGCCAGATGAACAGTTTCCCGAAGGCTTCCAGTTTGACACTGATGATGTGAATTTCCCTGTTGATAATCTCTGCTTCGTGGGGCTCATTTCCATGATCGACCCACCACGGGCTGCCGTCCCTGATGCCGTGGGCAAATGTCGAAGTGCTGGAATTAAGGTAATGCCCCGCCCCCCCTTTTTGGCATCACCTCTCAGCAGCCCTACTTAGTGACGTTGCCTTGTGGGGTCCATGTGGCAGCTGGTGTTTCTCACCTGGAGTATCAATTTCTCATCTCCAAAGCTTTTTAGTTACCACCAGAGAAGACCAAGTGGTATTAAAATGTTGGTGTAAACTGCAGATGAGGGATTAAAAAAAAAAAAAAAAAAATCAACTTTTTAAGGGAAATGTAATGTAGCAAATTAAAAAGAGCAGAAGACTTGGTAAGTTTTTTTTTTTTAATAAATTTATTTTAAAAGTAGTATGGTTTAACATATTCAACCAAGTTACATTGGTGCTTTTTTTTTTCTTTAACATCTTTATTGGAGTATAATTGCTTAACAGTGTTGTGTTAGTTTTTGCTGTATAACAAAGTGAATCAGCTATACATATACTTATATCGCCATATCCCCTCTCTCTTGCATCTCCCCCCCCCACCCTCCCTATCCCACCCCTCTAGGTGGTCACAAAGCACCAAGCTGATCTCCCTGTGCTATGCGGCTGCTTCCCACTAGCTGTCTGTTTTACGTTTGGTAGTGTGTATATGTCCATGCCACTCTCTCACTTCGTCTCAGCCTACCCTTCCCCCTCCCCGTGTCCTCAGGTCCATTCTCTACGTCTGTGTCTTTATCCCTGTTCTGCCCCTACGTTCTTCAGAACCTTTTTTTTGTTGTTTTAGATTCCATATATATGTGTTAGCATACGGTATTTGTCTTTCTCTTTCTGACTTACTTCATTCCGTATGGCAGTCTCTAGGTCCATCCACCTCACTACAAATAACTCAATTTCGTTTCTTTTCATGGCTGAGTAATATTCCATTGCATATATGTGCCACATCTTTATCCATTCATCTGTCGATGGACACTTAGGTTGCTTCCATGTCCCGGCTATTGTAAATAGAGCTGCAGTGAACATTGTGGTACATGACTCTTTTTGAATTATGGTTTTCTCAGGGTATATGCCCAGTAATGGGATTGCTGGGTTGTATGGTAGTTCTATTTTTAGTTTTTTAAGGAACCTCCACACTGTTCTCCATAGTGGCTGGATCGATTTACATTCCCACCAGCAGTGCAAGAGGGTTCCCTTTTCTCGACACCGTCTCCAGCATTTACTGCTTGTAAATTTTTTGATGATGGCCATTCTGGTGTGAGGTGATACCTCATTGTGGTTTTGATTTGCATTTCTCTAATGATTAGTGATGTTGATCATCCTTTCATGTGTTTGTTGGCAATCTGTATGTCTTCTTTGGAGAAATGTCTGTTTAGGTCTTGTGCCCATTTTTGGATTGGATTGTTTGTTTTTTTGATATTGAGCTGCATGAGCTGCTTGTATATTTTGGAGATTAATCCTCTGTCAGTTGCTTCGTTTGCAAATATTTTCTCCCATTCTGAGTTGTCTTTTCGTCTTGTTTATGATTTCCTTTGCTGTGCAAAAGCTTTTAAGTTTTATTAGGTCCCATTTGTTTATTTTTGTTTTTATTTCCATTTCTTTAAGAGGTGGGTCAAAAAGGCTCTTGCTGTGATTTATGTCATGGAGTGTTATTTTGAAATATTTGCCTTGTTCTAAATTAATACACTTCATGCAGTGAATGGCATGTGTTCTGTGTTTTCAGTTAACTGGTTTTGGCAGGAATGTTTGGTGTACTCTGTATTGGTCTTAAGTTGCAGAGTATTGTTCAGGTACGCTGATACAGTGTGGTTCAGTGTAGTTCGTGTAGCCTGTCTTGTTGCTGGCTGTTTGATTCTCCACTTTCTCATTCTCATGAGTACTACTGCCCTGAAAAGCTTTGTAAAAATTATTCTCCTACCACCTCGACTGTATTCTAAATATAATCTGGGGTCAGAAAGAGCAGTGACTGATTTGAATTCTTGTTACTTACTGCTTTCCCTCCAAATTGGGCCAGTTTCAGGATGCTGACCCTTTACTCACCAGTATCAGATTTTTATCGTTTTTGTTGTTGTTGATTTCAGTAAATTTGAGTATTCTTCTGTGATGGTGTAAAAGGACAAAGATATTGTTTATTCTGTGTGATTGTGTACCAAGATAAAAACTGGTTATCGCTTTGTGTCTTCTGTGAACTCATGTCTATATTTTGGGCTAGTTCGTGTTTATCGGTTTTATATTTGCATTTCTTTCCCTTTGATATTACAAGCCGAATCATCCTTGACATTTATTCTTGCATACTCGTAAGACTTCTCGGGGTCATTTGCTAGGCAGCTGCGTCCAATAAATTGTCCTCTTCCTTGTCACAGGTCATCATGGTCACCGGAGACCATCCAATCACAGCCAAAGCCATTGCCAAAGGTGTGGGCATCATCTCGGAAGGAAACGAGACAGTAGAAGACATCGCTGCCCGCCTCAACATTCCAGTGAGCCAGGTGAACCCCAGGTAAGGCAGGAAGGTCAGACCACTGTTGCCTTGAATGTGCAGATGCTGGAAGTCGAGCATCTTCAGCTTGGTTCTACACAGTTTTCTTCTAGGCTTGCTCCGGGTTAGGGATGCCCCTCCAGTGCCAGAAAACAGCCTTGTTCCTAGGGAGGGTTTGCAATAATAGCGGTCACCATCAGCAGCGCTTAGATGGTGCCTGCCTAGATGGTGCCTGCCGTTCTAAGCACTTGCTACAGTACCCACGAAGGTAGGTGATACTCCCACCTTGCGGAGCAGGGAGGCTGAGGCTGAGTCACGCGGTACACGCGGCAGCCTAGCTTCTGAGTTCACGCTGTTAACCACTGCGCATACTGCCCTGCACCCAGCACCTTGTCATTTTCAGGTCCACACTAACAAAATAAAATGGGCAAGGCACAATTGTCCAGGTAGCTCAGGCCAAAAAGGGAGATTTTGGTAATAAAGTAGAATAGATAACTTGAGACAACTTTGTTTTTAATGTTTTGTTAAGGTTTAGGGCCACCCCCAGCCAAACCCTACTTTGGGTTTGGTTTTCCATCAGCTCTGTCACCGCCTAAAACTTAGTTGTGTGTTATTTCAATGCGTCTTATAAAGATGGGGAAAGGAGGATGAGAGAGAGGCCTGCCCAGTGATTATCGTGAGTCTTGAATGAGATAATATATATGAAAATGCTTTGTAACCTGTAAACCACTGCACAGATAATACATAATGGGGACAGTTCCCTCTGGCTTTGTGGTGTTTACGAAGTGTTCTGCGTAGTGTGGCAACATTCCTTCTTGGGGATGAGCGTCGTGCTGGTGAAGTGACGGGTGACTTGTCTTTCGGTCCTAATGGTAGGGATGCCAAGGCCTGCGTGGTACATGGAAGTGATCTGAAGGACATGACTTCCGAGCAGCTGGATGACATTCTGAAGTACCACACGGAGATCGTGTTTGCCAGGACCTCTCCGCAGCAGAAGCTCATCATTGTGGAAGGCTGCCAGAGACAGGTCAGCGCACAGCTGGGGCCGGGCTCTTTCAGGCGCCACTGACCTCGGTGATGGCAGTTCCAGTAAAAACAAAAAACAAAGCAACAGTGGTGGAAACATGAGCCAGTTTCTCTCAGTCTCAGTATACACGTGCCAGTAAGATGCTCCAGGCATAGAGAGAAGGGTGGTGACTGGATCACGGTTCATCCGAGACACGTACTCCACTGTACAGGTCTTTGCTGTGGCCCACAGTCGGGGCTTCGACACTCGCCTGGAATAGCAGAGCAGGGTCCTAATGTGTACACTGGAGATATGAATGTCCAGGAGACTCACATCCCATACCTGGGAAAGACCTGGGGGTGGGGGTGGGGGTGGGGGGGCTTTCCAAAGCTCCACTCCACTCACCCAAGTCATGACTTTGAGTAGCCCTTGTGAACAAGGTGAGGGACACATTTGCTGTCACTCCTGGATTCTGGCTGTGGCCGTGTGCATTCCTGGCTGAGACGGTTCCGCGTCTCTGTAGAGCCTCAGTGGGAAAGGAGGAGTGTCTGTCTTGAGAGGCGACTGGAGGCTGCACCTCCCTTATACCCATCGCTAGACTACACGACTCCTAACCCGCATCCCTCCTTTTTCTGGCAGGGCGCCATTGTGGCTGTAACTGGCGACGGTGTCAATGACTCTCCGGCTTTGAAGAAGGCTGACATCGGGGTTGCCATGGGGATTGCTGGCTCAGACGTGTCTAAGCAAGCTGCCGACATGATTCTCCTGGATGACAACTTTGCCTCAATTGTGACTGGGGTAGAGGAAGGTGAGAGTGCTGCATGTAAAGCGACCACCGAAACCTCATCCAGATGCTGCCGAGCCGTGTCCGTTTCTGTACACTTAAGAGATGTGTGCAGTGTCTGGTCCCTCTCATTAAGCTCTACAGTAAAATCAATATTTTGCTTTTGTAGGTCGTCTGATTTTTGATAACTTGAAGAAATCCATTGCCTACACCCTCACCAGTAACATTCCAGAGATCACCCCCTTCCTGATATTTATTATTGCCAACATTCCACTACCCCTGGGGACCGTCACCATCCTCTGCATCGACTTGGGAACAGACATGGTGAGTGACTGTCACGGCTTCCACACATCATAGTGTTAAGGTGTGGCATTAGCATTCACCGCTGTGCTCTCTGGGTCCCTGTGGCCACTGTAAGGAAAAGAAATTCTCGGTAGTCACATTTCCGACGTGTGGCAGCCTCAGCATCAAAGACTGAGTGTTATCATTCCTCAAGACAGCTGACAACATCTGTTTATCAGATAGAAATCTTCCCTTTTGTATAATTTTGCCCCCTTTTTTTTATTTTGAAAGTGGGACTCGTAATATCTCATGTTATGAAAAACTTTTTTTTTTTTTTTTTTTTTTTTTTTTTTTTTTTTTGCGGTACGTGGGCCTCTCACTGCCGTGGCCTCTCCTGTTGCGGAGCACAGGCTCCGGACGCGCAGGCCCAGCGGCCATGGCTCACGGGCCCAACCGCTCCGCGGCATGTGGGATCCTCCCGGACCGGGGCACGAACCCGTGTCCCCTGCATCGGCAGGCGGACTCTCAACCACTGCGCCACCAGGGAAGCCCATGAAAAACATTTTTTGAAGGGAGGGCAAGAATTTTAAAACAAAAGGTTCACAACATCAGCTTGCTGGTTTCTGATAATTTTAAATCCCTTCTCGCCCCTCCTCCCCAGGTTCCTGCCATCTCCCTGGCTTACGAGCAGGCTGAGAGCGACATCATGAAGAGACAGCCCAGAAACCCCCAGACGGACAAACTCGTGAACGAGCGGTTGATCAGCATGGCCTACGGACAGATCGGTGAGCCGGCGGATTTCAAGTTTCTGTAGGGGTGGTGTCTGCCCTCTGAGACTTCAGGTGTTGGGTGACTTTCAAATCTAGGATGAGCCATGACCTAGGGTGAGACTGGGGATACTTTTTAGATTCCCTTCCAAGTGAGAATAAATCTTTCTTTTGCTGTCTGCCAAGAAACCATAGTTCTTTAGACTGGGCACCTGCGACTGAGCTCATCTGCCCTAGAACTGAGGATGCCCCTGCTCACAGAGCCTTTCCAGTGCCAGGCACAGTTCCTGGGAGCTGCACTATTAACTCAAAGGCGGCTTTTCCTGGGGAAACCTAGTATCTGTCACTCATTTGACTCTGCAAACCCTAACTCACTGTCCAGAGTTTGCAGGTTTGGCTGATAGGTCACTGCCAAGGGGCTCCTCTGCACACCCTCTCCCCCCACCCCCACCCCCCAGTGCTTGATTTCTGTTCCACCAGTGGCGCATGACCAGCTAACAGATGGTCTAGGCGGTGGGCAGTGAAAATACCCTTTGATCCTAAATCCTCTGCCTTTAGGAAAACCTGGTGAAGCCACCATTAGCAACTTGTTCTTCTGGAGTAATGGGTTACATCACTGCGAGCACTTGCGTAAAATGGGACAGATTAGTACATTATGGAAATGTGGAAAAGATTGACTTGACACTTGCTGACAACAAAGTAACTGGCTGATGGCCAGAAAGACCTAATTTTGAGCAGAAGGAAGACTGTGTCCAGAGCGTGGGATGAAATCCCACCCCAGGAAGTTGAGAGCATAGTGATTGGATTGGATCCTGGGGAGAACGGCCCTGAAAGTGGGGGAGGAGAAAGATTAGGTCAGCAAGTGGCACTTTCATGATTTCCACAGCGGCTGGCAGAACGTGGGAGGGAAAGTCATAATTTTTCAGAAATGTAGGGAAATGGATTTTTACCCCCAAGGGTCGTGCCCTTACAGAAGCAGATGGTCGAGTAATAGAGGTGGGTGTTTAAGAGCAAGGCCCAGGTACCGTCTTTTAAGCTCTAAAAAGTGACTCATCGTGGAGCAGGTGTGAGCGAGGAGTGTGTCCCGGGTCGTCCGTCCCACCGGTCATAGCCTGTGAGTGGCCAAGACCTTCCTCCAGGCCCTGGCATTCGAGTTGTCTTTCCAACCTCTCAGGTATGATCCAGGCCCTGGGGGGCTTCTTCACTTACTTTGTGATTATGGCTGAGAACGGCTTCCTCCCGACTCACCTGCTGGGCATCCGAGTAGACTGGGATGACCGCTGGATCAACGACGTGGAAGATAGCTACGGGCAGCAGTGGGTGAGTGAGGGCTGCCCGCCTGACCAGTGCCGGACGGAACTCCTCCAGCCCCACGGGATGAGGCCACGTGGCCTCCGGACATGCGTGCTCATCTGTCTGCCGTATGCATTTCAGACCTACGAACAGAGGAAGATCGTGGAGTTCACTTGCCACACAGCCTTCTTTGTCAGCATCGTGGTGGTGCAGTGGGCCGACTTGGTCATCTGCAAGACCAGGAGGAATTCTGTCTTCCAGCAGGGGATGAAGTGAGTAGGGCACAGTCAGGGGGTCCTGGTCTCAAAGAAGGAGGGGTCTGGTGACGTCTAAACCCTTTGCCAAAAGCCCAGCACCTGACACACAGGGCAGAGTTTCTGGAAACTTATTTGCGGAGCAAATTGAGGAAGCAAAATGTTTTCTAGGTTTTTTCATCTGACCTCAATCAGGTTCCTAAGTACAACTAATAAATACATAAAGACACCGATCTGCCATTTGACACGTTGCATTAGAAGATACACTTCTGTTTTTTAACTTTTCCCCACTCCTTGTTTTTTTTAGGAACAAGATCTTAATATTTGGCCTCTTCGAAGAGACGGCCCTTGCTGCTTTCCTTTCCTACTGCCCTGGAATGGGTGTTGCCCTGAGGATGTATCCCCTCAAGTAAGTCCATCCTCTTCTAGCTCCAGAAAGTGGGAAATAGTAAGTGTGGCTTTTCCTCTCATGACACATGTTAGTAGCTGTTATTTTGGGAACTCTTGGGTGATGTGTACAAGAGTTCCTGTGGATTGGAAAATGAGGAAAGCCTGACTGACTCAGTAATGCAGACCAGCAGATCCCCAGACTGTGCTTAGGATTTGCTGTCACTAGGGCCAGCCGGGCTCTGGCCCTTGGGCTTGCTCACCAGCCAACTGCACTGAGCGCTCAGGTCCCCCATGGCCACAGCCCTGTCGTCTTGAGGCCAGCGGGGGATATGCTGGAGTTTGGGGACACAGGTTCCAGTCTTGATTGGCCCACCCAGTCACTGCGTCGCATGGCAAGCCCCTCACCCCTGTGGGCCTCTGACGCTTCTGCTCTCGAAGGACAGTGGTGGAGCAGATCCGAGGTCCTTTTACTTTACAGTCGAGCACGGGTAGTGTTAGGAGATCATGGGTGGAGGATTGGAGGAGACTGACCACTAGTCTTTGGCCAGAACCAGACTGGCCTTAAACGTGGTGAATGACTGCACTTTTGATAGACCTGAATTTTCACATATAGGATTTGCCACAAACTCCAGTCGTGTTTTGAAGCATTGAGTGTGTTTGTGGTGTCTGCCACCTGGTTGAGGTTAGGCAGCTGCAACCTATTAAAATATGCTAAACCACAGAAAATGGGACCCTACGAGTCAAGCTTTTGATCCAACCATGAGTCTTCCCATGCTCGCTCAGACCCATATGGACTCTCTCGACTAGCCTGTTGCCCTTCACCTCCTCTCACTGATCTCATCCCAGAAGTAACCAAACCCTGTTGGCTTCCCTGACTGCCCATCTGTGGTGCAAGGGGAGCCTGGCATCCAGGGTCTTCTTACTGTGCCAGCCTGTCTTCCTGGCCTTATACCCATCCAGGCTTATGTTAGCTGAATTCAGTACTTCTCTTCTGCCTCCATATTTGGGAAGGCTGTTCCCTTCTCACCCCATCAATCCCGATAGTTCAAGGTTGGTTTTCTCAGGGCTTGTCCGCATGTGATCTCACCCTCCTGGGCGTGTGCAGCTGCAGCCCTGCTTTGTTGCCATTGTTGTCACTTCTGCTCGCATCGATTGTTATTTTCAGAGCGTGGACCACGACATCTGTTTTGACTTTGTGTCTCCAGCCCCCTGCACAGAGCTGGCACACAACGGGGGCAAGTCTTATCCAAGGTGAATTCTGTCATCTTGGGCCATTGTTTGTTAAGAGGAGGCTAGGAGGATCAGGGAGGATCAGAGCTCTCTAAAAGGCCCAAATGGAAAATCTCTACAAAATCTCAGCCTACAGCAGGCTGGTGGTGCCTCAGGGCATCTTCTGCTATGACTAGAGAACTTGTTCCCAATAGGTTCTACCCAGTGCGGAAGGTGGCTTAGTTCCAAGGGTCCCCAAGTCAAACGAGGTCATCTTCTAGCATGTGGAGGACACACGAGACAGGAAGAGGAGGAGGAGATGCCAGAGCTCTGTCTTGGGACAGTCTTCCTCTAGTGGTTGCTGCGGGAAGCTGGTAGTCAGGAAAGCGTCAGCCTCCTTTGGAGGCCGCCTGGGGAGCCTGTTTCCAGGCTGGGGGCTGTGGCAGCAGCCCCTGGGCCCCCAAAGGCCTCGGATCTCTGCTAGGGTTGAGCTTCTTGTTCCCCAGGTCTGAGACTCAGCGCACTCCTGACTGTCCCAAGCCCCACTGTCAGAGACCACATGCGGGGGATGACTGAACTGGTTGTGACCCACACCGGCAGTTCTTTATCTTCAGGTGCCAGGACATCAGACAGATAAACTTGAGTGAGCTTCTCAAATACTTTAGAAACAGAAGAAAGAAAATGTCCAGTTGCTCTGGAATCGTCAACAACAACAACAAAATCTAAGCTGACCTACAAACCAGTTCTCATGGAAAACCCAACTGAAGGTGGCAGTCCGCTTTCTTCTGCCTCTCCGGGCCCTGAGCGTACAGCAGCGGGCTGTTTTTATCATGTGTTCTGTGTTAATGCTCGGCCGGCTACCCGTGACTGTACTTGGCTTCTCCTTTCAGGCTGATTATTTCATTATCACTATGCTGATGTGCGGTTTCTTTTTCCTTTGAGTTGTGTGTACACGTATAAATTGTCACTTGATTCTATTTCCAGACCTACCTGGTGGTTCTGTGCCTTCCCCTACTCTCTTCTCATCTTCGTGTATGACGAAGTCCGAAAGCTCATCATCAGGCGACGCCCTGGCGGTAAGAACGGGCATTTTTAGTTGGGGGTGCGGGCTGCGGAGGGGCGCCTGTGGGTCCACTGGCTTTTGCGCTGTTTCCTTTGAAGTGTTTGGGCTCCTCCACAATCAGTCTGCTTGGCTAAGTAAGTCCGTTGGAAGCCAACTGTAAACTGACTTGAGTCACAGCCCATCCTCAGAATGGAGATCTCAGTTGAGGTTTCAGAACTGACCAAATACAACCAAATAGGAAGCAGTGAAAACGTGGTCAGAAATCGAAAGCATCTTTCCAATTAACACGTTACTCTTAAAAGCATTTAAATAAATACAGTTGAGGGCCCAGACTGAATTTGGGTCAAACAAACACCCCACCCACCCCCATTGGCTTTGTTCCCCTGAGGACCATTCTTTCTGTCTTTCCCTCTGCCCCCTCCCGAGGAGGAAGAGTCACTGTCGCTTATCTCTGTCTCTTTCTGTGCCCCCACCCCCCCCACACTCTGCACCCACCACCCACCCCCTCTTTGTGTACTTCAGTCTCGGAATTCGGAATTCTGCCCTGGAAGGAGAGCACCGAAGCATGTAGGGAAGAAGCGAGATGTCCCGGAATGAAGCATGTAGCTATATGGGGGGGAGGGGGGAGGGGGGAGGGGTGCCCGAGAAACATCCGTCTGTGGGAACAACATCGCAGAAGGTTTTTATGTGCCTTGTTGTTTTTGTAAAAAGGAAAACTCGGAAAGACTGAAAGAATACATTTTATATCTGGATTTTTACAAATAAAGATGGCTATTATAACGGAATTGGTCTCATGCCCTCATCACTTCCATGGTCCAGATTTTCTTACGTGATCGGTCTGGAGCCGTGGGTCCCAGCGCACGAGTCCCTGGCCAGGAGCTTCATCGGCATCACTTGGAGCTTGTTAGCACAGCAAAGCCGGGGCCACTGAACCAGAAGCTAACCAGCAATCTGTTTAATAAGTCTCCAGGTGATTCTGACTTCACATTCAAGTTTAAGGACCACAGATTAAGGGGAAACTTTCTGCCCATGCTTTCGTGGTCTGAGTAGGTGAGCTTACCTCCCCATTTTCCCGTGGGCCACTGCGGGTGGTATGGCTGGAACTCCCCCTGCTGCCTTCACATCTGCTTCCTGACGGACACACCCATCACGAGAAGGATTTTCAGACCCTCAGGGGAGGGCCTCCTCTTCCCGTCCTGGTCACAGCCCCACCTGTGGTCTCTCAGATCATCACCGCCACCACGACAGCCTCAAGTGTCTCGACGAAGATCTGTCTGAGAAGCAGAAACCTACCTATACACAGTCTGTTAGGACATCACAAAGTGCTTCCCTTCCACATAACTCGTTCCTAATTTAGCATCGAATAGCTCCATTTCAGAGAGTGCTTATGTTCCAGAAGCTACTTAAGAAAAAGAGGTGAAAGATCTCTTTACTTCAAGGTCAAGTACACCTCCGGCTTTCAAAGAGTGAGTGTAAAAGGCCCCCACAAGTCCCATCGCTCAGTAATCCATCCTGCGTGCTGTTAACTACCTGTGCTTCAAGGCTTGTCCTTGCTTCAAGCCGATGCAGTGAGGAGTCCTCACTTCTGGCACCAATGATCATGGCCTGCCAGGTGGTCATAGATTGGGTTCGAGTATTTTTTCTCCGAAAAGCTGAATTCATTGCTCACGCCTCTTGTGCTCACTTCCAAGCTGTGCAGATAGGGAGGGAACGGCTGACGCCCACATCCCAGCCAGTCACTACCCCCAGCCTCTCCTGCTAGGGGCACTGGGAGGGCCAGGTGGTCTGTGCTGCCTTAGTCCAACCCACCAGTCTTCCCTTCTTTCTCGGGGCACCTTCTTCCAGGATGATCTCTCTGCCTGTAGGCAAGTCATTTTTAAAGAGACACTTGTTCAGCCGAACATAAGGAAACTAGGCTAAAGCTAAGAACCAACAGAGATCTCAGGCTCAGGGCTGGTGGTTATGGAGTCCTCCCTGAGGACATAGCTCTGAGGGCAAGAATGAGGCTGCCCCACGTGCTTAGACTGGCACAGCCTTGTCAGAGGCTTGTTGGCCTCTCCTCTACCCCCTACACGTCTGTTCCCTGGCACCCCTGACAGCTGACCAGTGAACACACCCCTGATGAAGGTCATGGGTATTCCCTACCTAGAGGCATCTGAAGCAGCCTGAGACCGTAGACTCTGGAGGTGACCCCGGATAGCTTTCTGGCCAGGCCTCTGTGCAGCCCTGGACTTCTGGGAACACGGTGGGGAAGGCAGAGCAGGACAAGGGCAGAGCGGAACCTCCTGCCGTCTTTCCACCAGAATACCTCTGCCCTTTCTCTGTTTGACAGTCCCTTGAATAAAAAGTTTTACAAGCCA